CCCCCCCGCCCCTGCCGTCCCTTTCTTTACCGTCCTTGCACTTCTGCTTAACCCCCCTGCTCTGCCTGCACCCTGTTTTTCCCCCGTCTTCTCCGTTGGAAGTTCAGTCCTCGACTACTCTTGTTTTTCAAGATTGGATTTTCGACTCTTCCTAAGCGTGCGTAGTGGAATGTATGCAGTGGTGTATATTTGTCATATCCATTCTCATGCTGCTTGCTGTTTTGTCGAACAGTTCATCGGTGTTCCTCATATTTTGCTCTTTTCCGCACTCTCACCCTTATTAGGTATCCCCTTCTGAGGCCACCATCTTTTTTTTTGTCCCTGTGCCCACTCACTCCCCCCAACGTCTCCTCTCCCTCTGAACGACAAAGAGTGGGCAAACGGGGTAAAGGGGGTAAAGGGGACGGAGTGGGGGACAAAGAAAAGGGTGCGATAGCTCTTGGACTGCAGATTGTCAAAAAAAGAGCGTCTTCTTTTTCGCAACATTGCCCTAATCATCTGTTGTGAGTCTTCTTACCCATGTGAGTCATCTAATAATAAGTTAGGTTGTATCGTCAGTCGGCAGTGTAGGACGGGGGCGGGGGAGAAAAGGTTGCGCGATATTTATTCCTGTCTGACGCTTCGATGCAGATCTGCAGTTCTTAAAAAAAGTTGAAAATTTTCTTTTCTAAATTCAAAAAATTGTTTTTTTTTTTTCTTTTTCTTTTTCTTTCTTTCCCTTTTCTGCTTAGTACCTGTACCACATTGCCCTAGTCATCTGGCAGTCTCCTTGTCCGTGTGATTAATCATTAATGTAATATAATTATTATAATAATATTAGTTCTCTCTATCTTCGATGCATGGTGTAGAATGGCAGAAAATCTTCGATGAATAGTGTGTGTTCCGCGGCAGAGAATCTTTGATCATCGGTGTAGAGTGGAAATGCTAACCACATAATCTTCAAAAAAAAAAAAAAAAGGGTTATGCAAAAAAAAATAAAAAAATCTTCAATTATTGTTGGGGACATAGATCAGCCGCTCCCCACCAATAGACTGGAGCATCCAGGATTCTCAGGGGAAAAAAAAAAAAAAAAAAAAAAAAAAGATCAGCAGCATATTTTTCAGCATCGGTGTTGACGTATGAGGACGTCTGTACTCTGTTATGCAGGATGCCACGGGAGCGGTGCTCGTCTGCAGAGAGCCCAACAAAATCATAATGTATCGTGGGTGGCCGGAAGGGGAGGAGCGTCCGGAAGGTGACGGAGCCTCGCTTGATTGGTTTGACAGGGAGGTGTTCGGTCGTGGGTGGAACAAGGGTCAGGGGAAGGGGATAGGTATGGATGCTGCTGACGACGTTGGAGATGTAGACGGTGCAGATAATGCCCAATCTACGTCTGTCGCAATGTCGACGTCGGGAGGAGAAGGTAGTGGCGTGATAACGGAGGACGAACAGGCGTGGAACGATCACTCTGTGACCCTGAATGCTGGGGAGGGTGATTGGGAGAATGGAGGTGGAAAAGCCTTGCAGAATGGATTGGTTAAGGCGGAGAATGGCTATGGCGATATCGATGAGGATGATGATATAGATGAACTCGAAGATGATAGTGACGAAGAATTGGACGATGAGGACGAGGATGAGGCGGAGGAGGAGGAAGATGAAGATTGGGAGGATGACGATGAGGCGGAGGAGGAGGAGGAAGAAGATTGGGAGGATGAGGATGATGATGATGATGATGAGGAGGAGGAGCAGGAGGAGGAAGAAGAAGATTGGGAGGATGGCAAAGATGTTATGGAAGATGGAGACGAAGACGATTTGGGAGAGTGGGACGAGGAATATGAGCTGGAAGATGGCGAAGAGGACGTTGATGTAGGCTGTGGTGACAAAGGAGCCATTCAGAACAGTGTCGATGGGGTTGGGAGAGAGAGAGAGGACGTGGAGGGGGGGGAGGAAGAGGAGAATGAAGGGGGTGAGGTTGGGGATGAAGTGAAGTTAAAGTATGTACAGGAGGAGGATTGGGAAGAAGAGGAGGACAGGAAGGAAGGGGGAGCAGAAGAGGTGGTTTTAGAATCAACCTTCCCCCATGCCTAGTTTGTTGGCGGCATGAAGTTTTGTCGATGAGGAGGTGAAGCATTCGAATATGAGAAAATAAACAGGCAGACAAGTGTGTTGTGTCACTTCGACACAGGCAAAGGAAATGGTGGATTCCAGCTTGGCACTGAGTTTCCCGTTTCGCCCCTGTCACGATGGTCTTCTCTCTCTCTCTCTCTCTCTCTCTCTCTCTCTCTCTCTCTCTCTCTCTCTCTCTCTCTCTCTCTCTCTCT